GCCGCAGGATGGGCTAATAAGCCATCCCGCCATCCAAGGAGGCCCCACCCCGGCCAACATCGAGCACATTGCGGAGGCTCGCCCGTGGCCAGGAGCTCGCTGCCCGTGTTCCAACCGAGGTGGACGCGGCAGCGATGGCACCGATCCTTCTGCCCCCTCCCCCCTGCCCCTCCCGAGAAAGTGAGCCCGCTGCCCTGGCGCGTGCAAGGGGCGCCGCGTGGGCGGCGGGTCTGAGCAACGACTCTTCATTCAATCCTCCTGCAGGGAAGACGCGCAGGTGGAAGCCCGCGCCCCTGGACACGCACAGATCAACACGCACACACCAGACACCCTAACACTCGAAACGGCGCTACCCGCTTTTGTCTAGGGGCGCGAGGCCGGTGAAACATGCGCGGTCGCTGAGCTTTGCGTGACAAATGGCGGCCCAGTTCACGAGCCGAGCCTCCGCGGCCAGCCATGGTGCTGAGCTCCCCCCTCGAGCACATCGGGGAGAGAGGGTCGCAAGCGTTCTCCACGCCGATGCCGAAGGAGACATCGACCCCCTCGGCCCGCCCGGACTGACTACCTACCAGACCACCCCAACCCAACCCGAAGACCAGAATTTCGGGTTGGGGGGGCCATGGTTCCACGCGTGCGTTGTCGATGTTTTCCGACCCCCCACACACACAAACACACACACGCACACACACACACACACACACACACACTGGAAATCGATTGTAAATTCGAGCCTTCGGGTTGGGGTCTGGGGCGGTTTGGCGGGCGGTGACGGACCTCGCCCCGTCGACATTCTGAGGTTCCAGAGGCAGCGGCGTCACGTCGAGCAGCAGCAAGTCCTGGATTGCCGTCTCGTGTTTTCCTGGCCGTCGGAGGCGCCTTGCACCTCCGTGCCGATAAAAGTCGAATCTAACACCTCGAGGTCGACAATCTCCGGCTGGCGGCTACACTCGGCGCCCCGTGCGCTGCCCGAAGGTACGACGGGGATTGGAGATACCTTTACCCTTGCCAACTGAATGCGCGAAATCCCTTGCAATGCCCTCTGGGGGTTAATCGGGGCCCACATCACCGAAGACACCTGAATCGTGAGACTGGACCGTAGCTGCGACCTGCTCAAGTCGACCTCCATGAGCTCCGAATTGCCCCTCAACCCCCATCGTGTTCTGAAGAAGAAATCATCGATAACGTCACTGGCGGGGCTGAAGATTTCACGAACCAAACCACGACCGACTTATACTGCGCGGTCTCCCCACTCAAGAACGCGATTGTGACGCTCTCCGCTCCCCCGAGGCGCCTGAATTGGAGAGATGCCCTAGAATGAATCATGCGGACTCAGCTCCACGGAGGGCACCTCCAGCCTGGTGGACCCCGAAGTGGAACCCAAAGCCCTGCAATCTCTCCCGGCAAGGATGAAAATGTCCACTGTCTCGACCTCGAGACGAAGAACTTCATATACCTTGTTGATTGGGCAACACGGTCTCAACCTCGTTGACGTGATCGCGCGCGGGAGCGGGGGCGACGTGCCGCACTAGATTGCGCGCGCAGCCAATCCGAACAATGACGGCGCACAAGTTGCTCTGGGACTGATGTTGGAGGACAGCCGAGAGGTCCTCGAAGTGGGCTCGAGAATGCTGCGGACAGAAGCAGGGCATCTCCCCACTCATACACAAGCTAAGTTCTCGGAGCATGAAGGCGCGGAGGGCGACGCGGAAGACAAATGCAGAACAAGGCCTCTTGGAGCCATGCCAGTTGAGACACGCATGATTTGAACCAAACTTGCACACTATTGTTCCCCCCCCTTCCCCCTCCCCCCCCCCCCATCCCCGCCGCCCTCCTCCTCTTTTCCCCGCCCCCTCCTCCTCCTCGGACACCATCGGCATCAACGAGCTCCACCGCGCATTCGCAACGGGCTTAGACACCTCCCCAGCATCGTCGGGCAATTAAACGGCTTTACGATGCCAACAGACGAGAGTCGACCCCAGGGCGCGGAACCAAACCAGAATTCGGGCCGAGCCAAATCGCAGCGATGGGAAGAACACCTCCACGGTCAACATCGAACAAACAATAGCGCTCATCGAAATGAACGCTGCGACGCTCTCAGTTCAATTCGATATCCCCCTCTTGGCCTGTTCGTTCGCCTCCTGCGGTGCGCGCGCGGCCTCGCGGAGGAGGCCATCCCCGCTGCTGCCAGCTCGACGTTGCCCTTCGCCCGCGTCGTTGCCGGGGCGGGGCAGGGCGTTCGAGGCGAGCGGGGTCGTGCGGAGATCGCGTTTATTTTCCGAGCCATAGACTCCATGGATCGCGCCCTGCTCTGGCTCGCGGGAGCCCGACTTCTTCTTGCCAGCCCGGAAGGATCTCATTGGGGCCGCCCACAGCCCTCGTTCCAAGAAATCCATAGCCCGAAGATGGTCGGAATCCCCAGGCTACTTGGACATAGCCGTATCAACATAGTACGCAGACAAGTCGCGCACGAAATAATTCTCCAACTACGAGAATGGCGTTGCCGTGAGGCGCAAGATCTCGCATCCTCGCATGGTGAAGCTGCACGGGCCAACTAGCTTACACTTGGCCCGCTCACTCCAAAGTAACACATCACCGATGGGCCCCCAAGACTTCTTGATCCAGGGAGCTTTAACCTGATCTTCCAGATGTCGATGAGCAACATGGAGAACTTCGGAGAGGTCCCCCACAGGCAACCCGTCCCCGTGTCAGTGTCCAGGAGTAAAGGTCATCTGGGCCACGATTGCACCTGCTGGCCTGGCTGCAGCATGTGCCTCTGCTTCTGCATGGGCGGCATGCTCCTCCTCCCCCGGCTGCGGCGGCGGTCCAGGCGGAGGTGGTAGGTAACCCACCTTCTGCCCTCACGGCCGTGGAGTAGGCTGCCATGTGTTCATTTAGGGCCTGCCTCAGCGCTGGGTCCGGGCTGATGATCCGGTAGTGCAAGCCAGTCAAGTAACTTTGTAGATCGGCTGGTCCGCTCATGCCAGGCATTGCTGCCATCCTCGCGCCCTTGCCGCCGTGTCCGACATTCGCGAAAGGATTTGTGAGTCCTGGTGGCACCACCGCCTGATACGGATCTGCGGCAGTACCTCCAGAAGCACTGACGCGCAACATGGCCCCAACATCTGATTCAAGTTCATCTCGGAGCTTCACTGCAGCGTCCAGGTCGAATCTCACCAACGCCGTCTGCATATCTAGGTCCGCCAATGCGGTCTCCTGCTTCGAAACATAGTGTCTCTGAATTTCGAGCTGCTTCTGAATTCGAGAGAGTTTAGCACAATGCGCTTGAAAAAGGCTGGACAGCGCTCTTGCTGGAATCGCGCTGCTGGCGGAGGTTGGCCACGACGGCCTCCACAGCCTCAGTGGCCTTCTCCGCCTGCGACGTCTCGTACGCTGTCTCGCTCTTCTCCGTGACTGCCTTCAGCAGGTCCAGAGAGTGTTGTAGCTGCGTGATTTGCGGCCCTAGCGGCCTGTCCTATTCCTATGCAGGTCTCTGTTCTTTCTCTGACTGCCTGGCTGCTGCTGAAGAACTGGAATGCTCCCCCAACGCCGTCCACACTGCCAGCACCACTGGTGTCTCATGTTGGCATTCGCCATGCGACCCGCGCGCTGCCATGAGAAGTCGGCTGCTGGCTGACTGGCTGCTGGTACTGCTAGGCCACGGGCGGCAGGCGTAATTTTGCCCCAGGAAACTGCCTTGCCTTTGCCGCCCTTGCCCATGCCCTTGCCCTTGCCGTCGTCACGACCTCCTCCCATCCCTGAGAAAAGCGGAGGTACGATATCCTGTCCACGGCCGTGCTTTGGCCCAGGTCGGTGGTGTGGACAGGTGTGCACAAAACGACACCACGTCACCTTAGGCCCTAACCTCCTAGGGGGAATGGCTTGAGCCAAAGGGCTACGGACCTCCTCCTTCCTCCTCCTCCTCCTCCTCCTCCTCATCCTCCTCCTCATCAGCCTCCTCCTCTTCCTCGTCCTCCTCCTCCATTCCTGTTCCTTATAAATAACTTCTCCCTGTCGCACCCCGAGGCTAGCTGTTAGGGCGGACCGGGCGTTTCGCCCGAGACCTCCCCACCACTTAAGACTCTGAAGCGTAAGAATTGGCAACAGTTTCACAAATGGAGGGCGGGTCGTTTTCAAAATGTGGCTCTCGCCTTAGCGCCGCGCACATTCGTTCTAAAAATGTGCAAGCGCTTCACTGATTAAGGTTAGCCCGTTTTCAAAATGTGGCTGTCGCCTCAGCGCCGCGCACATTCGCTTTAAACATTTGCAAGAGCTTCGCGGATTGAGGATAATCCGTTTTCAAAATGTGGCTCTCGCCCTAGCGCCGCGCACATTCGTTTTCAAAATGTGCAAGAGTTTCGCGGATTGAAGGTGGGTGGTTTTCAAAATGTGGCTCTCGCCTTAGCGCCGCACACATTCGTTCATAACATTTGCAAGAGTTTCACGGATTCCCACCATCAACGTACCAGAAGTGGTGTTTTGGAAAGACTTCAGATTTTGCGGGCGCAACAATAACGTTAATTCGCGGTGCTGAAATCCCAGAAGTGGCGTTTTAGCACGATCCAGGGTCGTCAAGACGCAACAGTCAGGTTGATCCGTGGCGTTGGAATCCCGAGAACAATGTTTTGGCATGCTCTCGGGTCTTCAAACGTTTCTTCCAACGAGGCAGATCCCTCAATGGAAATGAACCGTTGTAGGGGCCTACGAAGAGGGAGCTTGGAGGAAGGGTGTATTCCAAAATCGTTGATGATCCTTGGGTTTACACTGGTCCTCCTCCTCCTCTTCCTTCTCCTCCTCCTCCTCCACTCATCGCCCTCCTTGCCCTCGTTCCCTCCTCGCCTGGGCCCACGCCTCGGGAACTCCCCCGGGCCCTCCGGAACGCCGAGAGCAGAACACAGAGAAGAGATGTGCGAACTCCCTGGGAACGACGCGCACGAAGTTGAGGGGCAACTATAGGGGGGGACTGTCATTAGGGGGGCATGCATCAACCTGGAATCGGCGATACATCGCCAATGGATCGGCGATAGGCATCCGATTGTGAATCCGTACCGTCCTAGGCAGGTTGGGGCTATCGGGTCCCTATCGGCGATCAATTGGCAATTGGGGGTCGATGCATCCCCCCCTGTCTGTCCCCCCCTATCGTTGCCCCTGAGAAGCACGCAAAAAAGGCGAACTCCCAGGGCCCAGATGCGAGCGCACTTTTGTGTATTTCTTGATTTTCCAAAGTCCCAAAGACGAAACGCGTGGACTCCCAGGGGAGCTCTGGAGCGAGCGCTCTCAGACTCTGGTGGTCTCCAGGGTTCTCTAGAGGATCTCGGGGGGGCTACGGGGGAGCTTCGGGGAGAGCATCCTCAGACTGGCGACCTCCTTTTCGCTCCTACTCCCCCCCCCCCCCTCCTCCTCCTCCTCCTCCTCCTCCTCCTCTCCTCCTCCTCTCCTCCTCCTCCTCCTCCTCCTCCTCCTCTCCTCTCCTCCCCCTCCTCCTCCTCCTCCTCCCTCCTCCTCCTCCTCCTCCTCCTCTCCTCCTCCCTCCTCCTCCTCCTCCTCCTCCTCCTCCTCCTCCACCTCCTTCTCCTCATTCTCTTTCCCCTTCCACATATTCCCCTGTCCCTGGTCCTACCTTCCCCCTCCTTCCCGCTCTCTCCTCCGTCTCCTCTCTGCCTATAGCTCATAGCCACCATCAACCCTTTACCCTCTCGCCCTTTCTTTCATGCCCTCCCCTTTCTGGCCATTTTCCTTTCTCTGAGCAGTGAGGAGGAGAAAGAGGAGATGGAACGAGCAGAAGAAAAGGGAGCAGCTAGGACTAGGCTGCGGGAGGAGAAGGACGAGGAGGCGAGAGGGCGTTTAACGCTGTTTGGTGCCTCTTGATGCGTTGAAATGTTGGTTTACTATGCTAGATATGTCGCTGTGGTGTACCGGTTGTGCACATTCCTGCTAAGATTGAACTCTAAAGTGCTTGAGAGTGTGGTTCTGCTTTGATGTGCATTCCCATACTCTCATACTTATACTTGGGAGTTCGAGGTGTTTCATACTGCTCCGTGTTAGGAATTCGTCGCGCGCAATGTGCTCTCTCCAGTGGGCACCCGTTGCAACGCTTGCCTGTTCGCCACTGCCCCTGCCGTTCCCTCCTCCCCGTCCCCCCGGCCCGCGTCCGTCAGTGGGTCCCAAAAACAGCGCGCTGACAGGCCGCGCGGTGACCTCGAAATCCCAGAAGGACCTCACCGCACGGCCTGTCACCTCTCGGCTCGGGGAACTTTGAGGCCCCAGTCGACCGAGACATCCTCGGAGAACGACCCATGCCCCAAAGCCGCACGGACTGGATTGGATTGGGTCGCGATGAAACAACGTGTGAACTGCCCCTGGCTGCGACGCTCGAACAGCAACAGAAACGATCGCCTGTGCCGACCAGGTGGGGAGTGGAGCGGGGGGAGGAGAATCATCTGGGACTGCGATGGGGGGGGACAAATGTCCAACTGAACTACCGACAGTTCCCTTCCAGTGAGGCTAGCCGGAGCTTCCTGACAAAGCACCACCCACCCGCCCAGCAGCTGCAGCAGCCGGAGCGAGGGGAGGGGGGGGTGGGCGAGGCCGAAGGGCAGCAAGGGCAGGCACGATGTGGTCACCGCCCTGTGGTCCGCGCGCCTCCGCCGCCGGAGCTGCCCCATCCCGAGGAGGCGAGGGGGTGCGGGCGCGCCCTCGGAGGCCCCTCGGAGGCCCGGGTCCTCCCTCGGAGCACCGCCGAGGCCTGCTGCCCCTGCCGTCCTGGCGCCGCGGAAACACCGCGCCGGAAGGTGGAGGCCCTCGCCGCGCCCCGAGGCCGTCGGGAGGCCACTCGGGACGGGAAGCCCGTCGCGCCCGGCAGGGCCCAGGCCCGGCCTCTGGGGAGCCACGCCGTGAAGAAGCACCACGTGGGCTGTCTGGGTCAGGTCGTGGGAGGGGGCTGCGGACGGGAGGCGAGCGACGAAACGGCACGAGTCTTACGCACGACTGCCCAGCGACCTCACGCGGTGGCTCAAGCGGGCCGCCAGTGCGGCACGCTCGTGGGAAGCGAGGGCGCCGCACGCGCCATCCCGCGCGGGCAGCTCACGTGCGAACGTCGGCGCAACCGACCCCATTGTTTCCCGCGGCTCAAGTGAGCAGGCGGGTGTCAGCCCCACCCCTTCGGGGACGTACTGACCCCAGTCAATGCAAACCCAGGTCAATCAAGCTGTATAGGATCCTGCAAGAAGATCCTGCGCGCGAGCCCAGGTCGATGCAGCCCTCGCTCTGCAGGATCCTGCAAGATCTGGCGCTCTGGCTAACCCCCGTTTGCACTGACCCCCGTCTCCAGACTCCCGACAGGTCAGACTGATAAGAACATTGGCGGGGGCTCCGATTTCCCGGGACGTCTGCGGCCACGTGAACCCCAACCAGGGCGGCTGGCACCCCAGCGCAAGTCGGACCCACTGGTGCAGGGCTCTCCTGGGATCCGAAGCTGCGAAACAAATCCAATATCGCGAGAACTAACGACCGGAGCCCTTTACACCATCTGGCTGCTGCATTTTTCGAGCTGGGTCGATATTTGTTGGTTCTGGGCTCGAAACCCGGCGAAAACGCGCGGTATCAGCAACAATTTGCAACGCCTGGACCTCGGGGTCGGAGGCGGTCGCAGACGAGGGCCGCCCCCGGCGCCTCTCAGCGGGGATTGGAGTTCTCGTGGAAAGTCGTGTCGAGGGCCTTCAAGAAGTCGACGTAGCTCACCTGCGCCGCGGGCGTCGCCATGGCAGCGGGGGGGGCCGCAAGAAGGGCAGGATCAGGAACGCGCGGCCAGAAGGGATGGGGCTGCAGCGGCACGCAGAAGCTTTCCCTGCACAACACCCCCACGCCTAACTCGAACCATCATGCGCCCTGGCATGATGTATACGCCCTCCCGGTCGAGGCCAAGAGGGTCTGTACACCATCCCAAGGCCCATGGTGGCCCCGGCCGGGCATGGTGGTGGTGTACGCTTGCCTTCTGCGGAGATGAGCTGCGATGGTAGTGCAACCTTCAGCGTTGCTGTCGGCGACGATCGGGGATCGATGATCGGGGTCTTCGAGCGGTTCTGGGTGGTTCGACGCGATCTTTGGGGGGGTGTTCCTGTGGGCTCAAGGGTGTTCTGGGGGGGCAAGGATACTTGCATTACCGTGCAAGGGGGGTTACGGCTGGTGCAAGTCTGGAAGGCTGGGATGCAAGCCTAACAATATGCCAGCGCAGCGAACGCAGGAGGAGGGGAAGGCAGGTCAAACTGCACGAGCAACGGGCCTCTTCAGGAGGGCGCAGGCTGTACAACCGCCCCTGTCCTAGCCAGGCCCAGGATTGGCCTGGCCAGGACTAGTGCAGGTGTATAGCCGGCGTCCCCCGACACTTAGCAACATCAATGGGGCAGGCTTGCGACCAAAAAGGGAGTCGAATGCAATACAAATTTCGCACGTGACACACGCATTCCACTAACTGAACCGCGATGGGGATGGGGGTGGGTATAGGGATAAGGATGTAGGGTAGGGATAGGGATTGGGAAATAGGATAGGCTTCAATTTGACAGAGATAACAATAAGTATGTAGGCAGAGGGATATGGGATAACCATAGAGATAGGGATGCGGATATGGATTAACACTGGAAGACAACGGGAGACAATGAGAGAAAACATTGGAGACAACGGGAGACAACGGGGATAGGGACAGAGATAGGGATGGACATAAGGATGACAGTGGGAAACAGCAGACGACGAGAGAGAACGGAGGCAATGGAAGACAACGGGGGCCAATGGGAGACAACGTAGCCTGGCCGATTCCAGATCCTGCAGGCCGCCCACCCGCTCCTCAAAAACAACATATAGAACCCTTACAAACAAGCTGTTCTTTGAATGACCCAATACGCCCCCCAACACACTCCACGTCGGGACCAGGTCGTTGAGCTAAACCGCGGTTGCCAGCAAGATGGCCCCGAGAAGCCCCAAGAGGCTCCCCTGAGGCTTCCAGGAAACCTCCAGAATCCCATAAGAAACCCGTAAGAGATCTTAGAACAGCTGTCCCTCACTCTCGCACCATATCTCCGGCACTCAGGAAGCTCCGGCTGCACGAAGGCCAAACGAGCACAGCACCAGGACGAGACGTGGCGCCACACAGCTCGACGGCGAGGCCTTCTGGAGGAGCGGGGAAGAGGGTGGGCGACGGCCAAAGCCACTGCTCGACATCACGAAAGCCTACAAGTCGGACGATCCCTTTTTTCTCGCACTATATCTCCAGTACTCAGGAAGCTCCGGCTGCACGAAGGCCAAACGAGCGCAGCACCAGAACGAGACGTTGCGCCACGCAGCTCGACGGCGAGGCCTTCCGCCCACACCTCCACACCCGATGCGAGGAGTGCCAACGCGGAGCTTTTGAGCCGCGAAAAGCATCAAATGAGAAACACTCGGACTTTGCCGCGCGCGAGCGAGTCACGAGATCGCGCGAGCAGGTCGGGCAACGCAGCGGCGAAGCTCCTGATGAGCTCTCGCGAGGCCTGCGACAGGTTCGGAACGAACGCGACAGCAGCCACCACCTGAATATAGATCTCCATCGACACGAGCGCCTGCCAGCGCCCTCTCCATTCGGTGCGAGGGGGATCCTCGCACTGCTGAATGATGAAGGTGGCCCCGCCTCCCCGGTGCGAGGCTGGGGTCAGACCGTGGGCCTCCGTGGCCGCGATGCCGAACAACTGAACGAGAGCGTCGTGGCACCGACGGAAGTGCTGGCACGTGCGTGGGAAGATGCGGTGCCCGCGCGGCCGCCCAGCAGCGAGCAGCTCGAGGAGGCGAATCAGGCTCGACTCATCACACCTGGCATGCTCCACGCGGGCCACCGCCCAGCGGGCCTCGGGCTCACGCGCGCACGCGCGCAGCAGACCTCTTCGTCGGACACGAGCTGCGGCAGCAGGAGGTCCGAGAAGCTCAGGCCGCGCACATCCCCAGGCCTGAGCATGCATGAAAAGGACAGGAAGATCACGACCGCCATGTCAAGCCAACTCTGGCTCAGCGCGAGCGACACCAGCGCGCGCAGCACGGGCAGAGGCGCGGGCGGTGGCGGATCGGCACGACGTGCTGCCAGGCCAGCGAAACGTCCCACGCGGTGCCCATGCGCCTGCGCAGCGAGCGCTCCACGTCGACCACGTCGTTGGTGGTCTCCGTGCAACGCTTGAGGTTTCGACCGCGAGGGTACAGCACCTGGTCGTAGGACGCCACGATGCTGGAGACGACCCGCGGCACCTGCACGACCAGCTCCACCACGGTGCACCCGCCCTCCAGGGCCAGCAGCCACGCCTCGAACCCGGCCAGGAGCAGCTGCCTAATGTGCGCGGTCTGCGCGCCCGCCTGCGGCCGCAGGCGAAGGTCGACCGCCTGCCTCGCAGTTGGGCGCTCGCCTGCCACGCGAGCGCCCTCGGCGATCCCCATCAGCGACGCGGCGAGGACGCACAGCACGAGCAGTCGGGCCACCGCCGCGGGACCTTCGCCAGGATAGCCCAGTGCGCTTTCGATGTTCATCAGCGCCCCCGTCAGCACCAGGTTCAGGGCTAGGCGGCACCACTCGGACTCCGCGCGCCGCGGCCTGGGAACGCGAGTCCACTCGCCTGCCTCCGCCGGCCCTCGCAGCGCAAGCGGCCCAGCAGAAGGTGGGCGACTCCACGACCACGAGAAGGCCCGTCCGCAGGGATCAGGCGAGCGGGCGCGAAGTCGCACGCTTGGTACACGCTGTAGCCGAGGACGCGCGGGAGCCCCATCTTCAGGTCGCCATTGATGGCGCGCGAAGCGGAGCGCCCCTTGGCGCGCGCACCGAGAGCCACCGTCAAATCCAGCAGGAAAAATTCCGCGCTTTCAGGCGGGCGCGGACCTCCGGGCGGTCGATGCGCGCGGCGGGGGCGCTGGGCTCACAGCAGAGAGCACGCCGCTGGCAGCACCGCAGCAGGTGTTGACGAAGGGCTGCTCCAGGCGCCCGGCCAAGGCGGCCGCCGGAGGCTCCGGGCAGGCCAAGGGCGCCTCGGCAGCCAGCTGAACCCGCGTCAGCTCGGCGCAAGCGGCACACAGCGGCTCCGCGCACGCGGCGGCCAGCGCAGCGCGGGCGGCCCCCAGCAGCGGGCGCTGATGGGCCAGGCGCCCCATGCACGCGCGGGCGCGCCAGCGGCTGCAGGCGCCCGCCTCGGACCAAGCCCACCCTCATCGGCTTCCGGGAAGGCGCGCCGTAGGCGCGGGCAGCGAAATCCAAGGAGCCGCACTCGAGCTTGCTGAAAAGCAATTGCGACGGTTCCACGTGCCACGTGTAGGCGCCAGCGGGTCCTCCAGAGCCCCGTGCCTGCCATGCTTGTACACCGTCCGCAGGATCTGCAGCGCGCGGAAGAGCAGCACGTTGCCCAGACGGGTGGCATCGCCCTGCGGGTCCAGCCCCGGCGGCTGCGCCCTCGACCTGAGGCGCGGCTGCCGAACCAGGGAGAAGGCGGTGCAGGGCGGGGCGCAGTGCACGTGCGCAACGCGGTCTGATCACGAAGAACTGGGTTCACTCGATGATCCTGACTGACTGGACGTCCCAGCGCGGGCGGCTCTTGATGTCAACTCTCGGGTCCACGCGCAGCCCGACGATTGCGCGCCCACTGGGCCAGGGCACGGAAACGCCACTGCAGACCTCGAGCACATCGAAGACCTCCAGCGGCTGCCATGACCTTGGCGCCCGGCCGCAGCTCCGCGTCGACGCCCTGCAACCAGGCTCTGTCCTCCAGACGCTTGTGTGCCCGCAGATAGGCGACCTACTGGCTACTCAGCTGCGTATGCCACCCACGCTGGTCACGATGCCTCTGCACCCCGCGCGCGATGGGCTGCGCCACGTCCGCCACGACCGAGGCCATGCTCTGGTGCGACGCGTCGCTGCGCGCGACCTCGGGGGCGACCTTGTCCTTGAGTTTCGTGGCCAGCGTCGGCGCCAGCGCGGCTAGCAGCATCAGCTTCCGGCGCGCGCTCGGGCTCAGCTCGAAGACGTCGTCGGCACGAGGCGCCCCTGACAGCGCGCGGAACACCGCGCCCAGCAAGCACACCGCTGGGCGTCGGAAGCCGAGCACGTGCACCCAGCTGGCCACGGCCCTCCTGAGCAACGCCCCAGCGGAGATGCCGCGCGCGCAATGCCAGAAGACAAGAGAGCTAGACCGGCCCGTCGCAGCCGTTCAGAGCCCAGGTGCCCCAGGGCCAGCATCTCGGCCCCCGGCGCGAAGCCCGACGTCGCGCCTGTCATGCGCTTGTCACCCGCCGCGCCCAGGCCCACGCTAGCGCACTGCTCGCGCGCCGCCTCGAAGGGCCGCCCCAGCGAGCGCGGGGGGCGACGCGAGCCAGCGGCGCGCTGCCCGAGGCCAATGTCGTCGTCTATCTGCAGGAGCTCCGCGCGCGGACCTCGAGGGGAAGGCCTGCGGCGCTGCGCCCGCGCGGCGTCGGCAAGCGAACCTCCGGATTCCAGCGCCGACTCGGTGGCGGCCCAGGCGAAATCGATGGCATTCACGCCCCCCGCGAGCATGCTGGTCACGCAGATCACGCAATGCCCCTCCCCCCTCATTAGCCGCGACGCGCCGCGCGCGACCGAGCGTGCTGCAGCGGGCGCGTCGGGGCCTTCCTGACCAGGACGCATAGGTGCGCGCCTTGGCCGGCGAAACGTCGAACGCAGGGTGAAAGTCCGACGCCTCCGCAGCAAAGAACGCGGGGACGGCCCCATCCAGCAGCTCGCAATCACACAGCGCTTGTCTGGCCACCAGGCGTTTGCTGCCAGACTGAAGGCATGCCCCGAGGCGATACTGATGCGTCATCCCAGACTATGCGGTCTCGGTTCTGGCCCCGATACACTAGGATGACTATGCGCGCCTGGGCCAGGCCACCCTCCTCGGGCTACGCGAGGAACAGCTTGAGCGACAGATCCAGGTCCGACGCGAAGGCCGCGATATCGGCCAGACTCCCTGCCTGGCGCATCGGCCGCAGCCCGTGATCCAGCGGCTTGTCGCGCCCCACGAGCGACGGGTCCAGGCGGGCCGCCGCCTCGGAGACCAGGGGTTGGCAGACGGGGTCGAAGTGCGCCCCCCTCTCGCAGAAGGTCGCGCGGTTGGCTGGGAACGGCGTCGCCGCTAGGGGGGGAGGGGCTCGCACCCGATGCCCTGGTGCGGCCCTGCAATCGGAATTCAAGCAGCCCTTGCGGGTCCACCCTGCCGCTGCCGCTCATTTGGCAAGGCGTGCTGCACCGCTGCTTGGAAAGGGCGAGGAGGCGAGGCAGCCCGCCGCGCCGCGCCTCGCTCAAGCCCACCCCCGTCCGACACGACACCCGGCACCAGCTCTGCGAGCCCAAGGCCAGGAAGGGGCGCGCGACAACCGCCAGGTTCACTAGCAGCTTCGCCACCTGCAATCTCTTCCAGCGCCCCCTGCAGCGCGGGCTGGAGTACGGAGGGGCGCCGACGGTCCACGGGAAAGGCGGCGCCATCGGGAACAACTTAAAGCAGGCGCGCGCCGGGGTCCCCGACGGTGCACTGGAGGACTGCAAGCAAGAATGCAGAAAGAAAGCAAGACTCATCCTGGCCCGTAGGCGCAGGAGGCGGCGCACCACCCCGATCTGCGCCCGCGGCGCCCCCGTCCGCGAGGAGGCCGGCAGCGCCGGCCACGCTGCCCCCTTGCCGTCGCCGCCCCATCCCGCCGCACCAGCCCTCGCCGGGAGGCGCCATGGGCGGCCGCCGCTGCGTGTATAGGGAGACGGCCGAGGGGCCGCTCCCATACGGGATCCGCTGGTAGAGGCGAGGTGTAGGACTCTTTTTTCCAGGGCGCTGCGCAGTGAGCAGTGCACCGCTGCTGTCTTGCCAATACCTGAGCCAATACAGTTGCGGAAGAAGGGATATCATAGGGAAGCGGACTTCACGCACACACACACACAGCCCCGAAACCTGCCAGCCCCCGATGGCCTCGGGCCCACGGGAGACGACGGCAGGAGTCGGGAACAGAGGTGCGAGGTCCACTCACAACCCCGTTCTATCCACCACCCCTCCAAACGGGGGCGCATTGGCTAGGAAAGGAGAGAAAGAGAGAGAGAGAGAGAGAGGACCATCACCGCCACACGGGGTACTCAGGAGTGTCTACCCAACTTAGCGGGCCAGGGTGCGCCCCCCAAAACGCTTCGGTACTCCTGGACGACACCCATTCACCGCAGGTGACAGGGATGGGAAAGCAAGGAAAAAAGAGCAGCAAAGTGACACCAGCATCCTTCGATGGAGGTGTAGCCACCGACGCGGCAGACGCGCAAAGTAAAGTGGATCGAAGTTGTGACGACAACCCGATCAAAGTAAAATAACTCTCATTCACTGGGCACTCCAGGCCCAAAATACTGCCAGGGCACTCCAGGCCAAAATGCAAAAAATATTCGGAGAGTTGCGATGACAACTCATCTGAGAACATGTCATGCATGACGTGAGGCACTCCAGGCCCCAAAAGTACTTTGAAACGTAAATACGAAGTACGATCATGGGGAAATGCTATGCGCCGGTCGTACACGGACGCCGTCCCATGATAAAAAATAGACGATGGCGTCATGTATAATATTACTGGCGGGCGACCTACCTGGGCGCGTTCACGCCCGACTGCCAGATTGTATCGCGTAAAGCAGAATCAATATCGGTATACAGCGTAGTGTCAAATATCCAAGTCAAACACACACACACACATGTCAATGTGTCTCAAGATGCACGTGGATGGTAAAAGGTAATGGTACAAAATCCTTTTCCACAATCGAACGTGATACTATATATATATATATCAAACTACGCAGTAGTACATGTCTCGTGGCAGCGTTCATCCCAAACACGATTTCCATAGGCATCGAACCAGGTGGTAGCAATGGTCCTGTAGATGTCACATGACCATATGCATTCGCAATCGTTGCCGTCGACACAGACCCACTGGGACAGGAAGTACGAGCAGTTAACGATACGTCTCGTGTTGGTAGTGTTGGAGATCACAACGCCACCATGTATAGATGTTGCGGCGCTCGCGCGCGGCACCTCGGGGCACCACATCGATCTCAATATCGACCTTACTATCGATGTCACTATCGATCTCACTCAACAGTATAGCACGGCACACCACGGGACACCACGGGACACCACGGGACATCGCGAGCCACCGCGAGCCACCGCCCGACGGACGGACGGACGGGGGAGAATCATTTGTCTTGACTTCGCCCTAGCAACGGCGGACACCACGGGACACCAAGGGACACCACGAGACAACTGGGGCCACCGCCGGACGGACGGACGGACGGGGGAGAATCATTTGTCTTGACTTCGCCCTAGCAGCGGCGGACACCACGGGACACCACGGGACACCACTGGACACCGCGAGCCACCGCGAGCCACCGCCGGACGGACGGACGGACGGGGGAGAATTATTTGTCTTGACTTCGCCCTGGCAACGGCGGGTTCATTCCTCTCGCGCGCCCACGCAGCTTTGCCTCGCCCGCACGCCCGACACGAACGAAACGAAACGATTTCCCGGTAGGGGGTCTCCGTCCCACTGCGATCTCACCCCCAACCTCCGATAAGCACACCTGTATTTATGTATACATATATATATATAGATATATGAATAAAAAAAAAGCGAATGAGAGAGAGAGAGAACAACAAAAAATATGCATATGTATACCGCATAGACCACCCTTCGGGTGATAAGGAGGTGAGGGGGGGAGGGACCACCGTCGCACTCGATCGATATCACTATCGATCTCATTATCGATCTCATTATCGATCTCACAGTCGATACGGCTATCGATCTCACAATCGATCTCACAATCGATCTCACATTCGGTCTCACTATCGGTCTCACTATCGAACGCATTATCGATCTCATTATCGATCTCACAATCGGTCTAACTATCGATATCACTATCGATATCACAATCGATAGTGAGATCATCATCGTCATCACCTCTCACCATCATCATCACCATCACCATCTCCATTATCATCTCTCAGCATCACCATCATCATCATCAATGTCGTCATCAGAATCACAAACATCAACACCATGAAGGCCATCATCACCATCAGCATCGCACAATCGATCTCGCATTCGGTCTCACTACCGATATCACAATCGACCTCGCAATCGACGTCATCATCATCATCATCATCATCATCATCATCATCATCATCATCATCATCATCAACATCAACATCATCATCATCATCATCATCATCATCATCATCATCATCATCATCATCATCATCATCATCATCATCATCATCATCATCGCCATCATCAACATCATCATCATTATCACCATCATCATCATCATCACCATCATCATCAGAATCATCATCATAATCATCATCAACATCATCATCGGGACACCGACGGGACACGGACGGGACACCAGCGGGACACCGGCGGGACACCGCGGGCCCCGGCCGCGGAAGGGAATCATTTGGTCCGGCCGCGCCTCAGCCACACGGGACACCAGCGGGACACCGGCGGGACACCGCGGGGCCCCGGCCGCCCGGAAGGGAGACATTTGGTCCGGCCGCGCCTCAGCCACAGGAGACTTTCTCTCGCCCGCCCACGCAGCTTCGCCTCGCCCGCACGCACGGCACGCACGAACACGAAACCGAAATCGATTTCCCGGTAGGGGGGCTCTCCGTTCCACTTCGATCTCACCCCCTCACCTCCGATATATATATATATATAGAGAGAGAGAGAGAGAGAGAAGGATAGAGAGAGAGAGAGAGAGTGAATGAACGAGGCGCGCGAAGAGAGCTGGCCGAGGGAGGAACCCGTGGGGGGCGGCAGCGCGGCCACAGGCTTGTTCTCCCCAGACATCCAGCGCTATGTGACCGGGATGCATGTGGGCCCTGGACCCCTCGGCCCCGTCCCTCCTCCAGGGCCAATGTCAAAACATGTGTCTCGGCGGTGGACAAACCTCCCCCTAGTGAAAGCGGCCTGGGACCGAAATCGACGGACCTGGACCCGCAAAAATGACGGCCGCGACGCCCTCTCGCGAACCGAAAACGGCCAATTCGCTAATCGACGTGTCAGGGTAGGAGGTCTATCCACCTCCGATTGTCTAGACTCTGGCAAGTTTATATGCGTGGAGGGGGGGGGGGTCGTGGCGAGGCCCGAAAGAAGGACATCTGGACCTCACGCACGTCGAGACTCGCTGGCGCGCCCTTTTTCGGCCCTGCGGCCGCGGGATGGCCGCGGGCGGAGTGCCATGCAAGTCAACCTGCCAGCGCCCTCTCTGACGGCCCTGGGGCGAAAAGCTGGCCCCCCAAGGGCCAAAGATGGCGACAAGCCTGGCGCCTTCTTAGATCTTTTTGTCGGGGCGCCGGACGCCTGGGTCGCAGGCCCCCGCGGCGGTTGCCTCCGCGAGGTCGGCATCGGGCTGCGTGTACAGCACGGCGCGGATGACGTCGTCCAGGTCGACGTCGAAACCGAGGCTGCCGAGCGCTCCCTGGGGGGGCGGCGGATTCGGCGGCGGCGCGGTGGTGTCCAGCGGTGGGCTTCTGAAGGGGGGAGCGGGGACCTCTTCCTCCTCCTCCTCCTCCTCCTCCTCCTCCTCCTCCTCCTCCTCCTCCTCCTCTGCTTCTTATTCTTCTACTTATTATTATTATTATGAGTATTCTTCTTATTATTATTATTCATATTATTTTTAGTATTATGACGATTACTAGTAATATTGTTATTTGTATGATTGATAGTATTATTCTTCCTCCACCTCCTCCACCACCACCACCTCCTCGTCCTCCTCCTCCTCCTCGTCCTCCTCCTCCTCCTCCTCCTCCTCCTCCCCCAGGGGTCGGTCGGGCACAACTTCAAGCCCAGACCTTCGAAGCATTGTGCGTGTTCTCCCGGTTCTGCTGCATATCGGCCTCCGAGGGCCAGTTTCGTGCCCTGGGGCACATCACGAGTGGATCCCGGGCGAAAGATGCCCCTGGGGAAGGGGTCGAGACCTCTGAGGCAGCGGGCTGAGAAAACATGTTGTCGTGTGTCCGGGAAGGGTTTGCTCCGTGCTGCCTCGGGCACCCGCTTACATGGATTAGAGATCCGTAGATCTGGCGCGTGGCTGCCAGACCCACGGATCAGGGAAGGTACCCTCGAAACATACGGCCAATGCCGCCTGACTTGGCGACGGAGCGCGCCGGTTCTTGTCACGGAAGCGGGACCCGTCGCCAAGCCACGCGCCCTAATCCTTGTCTGCGCTTCCTCGGCGGAAGGGGTCCGCCCCGTGGTCCCTGAGCGAGCGGAGGAGGAGGAGGCGGAGGAGGAGGAAGAGGAGGAGGAGGAGGAGGCCCCGCTCCCGCTCCCACCGCCGCGGAGGGCGGCCACCTCTGGGCAGGAGCAGCAGGGGGGTCGAGGGGCCTGCGCCTGCCGACCGGCAGGGCGATGTGGTGCAGGGGGGAGGGGGGGGGAGGTGCGTCACGAGCGACGAACGTCTCCACGTCGTTCACTTCTAACCGCGTTCATGTCTAATTGTGCTCGTTTCTATCGCTGCCTGGCCCCCCAGTGGCCAGGAAGAGGCCCAGGATAGAAGAATTAGAAATGAAAAGGATCTTGGCCCCGAAAAAATCGAAGAACCTTCGAATTAGATATGAACAATGTGTACTTCACGAGCGACGAACATATCCATATCCATGCCCTCGCGGTCTGGATTTCTGATTCCCGTGGGCCGCCGCTCGCTCCAGGGACCCACCCACCCCCAGGACCTCGGCCGTTTCTTGACTCCTGGCCGCCGTTCGCCGTAGGGCCCACCTCCTTGAAATGCCAATTGCGAGGCAGGCGATTCGTAATTCTTGGCCCGTTGGCTGAACAAGCACGAATCACCCTGAGGTGCACCACCACCCCTCCTTCCCACTGGTACGCGATCCGATTGGATACGTTCCGAGGGGGGCATCCGCGCAGAGCCGCACTGTACCCCTGGGGTCGCGGCCGAGGGAATGCCTCGCGCCTCCGGGTACGGATCAAGCCAGGTGCGCTCGCGTCGTGTCTGACGTCCTGCCCCTCCCTCCCATCCCTCGCCATGGCGCAGATCTCCTCCCTGTTCGCACAGTCGCGGATGTCGCAGCGGAGCACAGCATCACATGGTATAGCATGGTGTTGAAGATCAGCGCGTAGTCTGACATAGCATGTCGTGGCGACGGGGCTTCTGCGGCCCAAAAAATCAACGAATCGACTCCGAATGTGGAATCACTTCCGATGGACTTTGTCGGGGGCCATCTTCTAGATTTTGGAACCTATTTGGCAGGACCGAAAAACATGCCGTGGCATGGCGCTGGAAATAATGAGGCCGGCGCTGCAGCGGGAGCACGATTCGGAACGGGCGAAAGCGCGGTAATGAGGCCAGCGCTGCAGCGGGAGCACGATTCGGAGGACGCGGAGCCTGACATAGCATGGCGTGGCGACGCCCCAAAGTGGGGGGGGGCTTCTGCGACCCCAAAAAAGTCAACGAATCGACACCGAATGTGGAATCACTTCCGATGGATTTGTCGGGGGCCATTTTCTAAATTTTGGAACCTATTAGGCAGGACCGAAAAACATGCCGTGGCATGGCGCTGGAAATAATGAGGCCAGCGCTGCAGCGAGAGCACGATTCGGAACGGGCGAAAGCGCAGTAATGAGGCCAGCGCTGCAGCGGGAGCACGATTCGGAACGAGCGGTGACCCGAAAATGAAGACAGCGCCTCAGTGAGAGCAGCATTTTTTTTTAGTTCAAAAAAAACACGAAATCCGATTTCCCGGGAATCCTGTGTAAAAAACAATACGCGGAGGGGGGCCGGGCATTTCCCGGACGTCACCAGGCGAGAGGAGAGTAGAATTCAGATTCTACAATTGTGCAGATCAAGACGCCACCTGCATACAAGGCACAAGCCGTCTCGCTCACTCCCACCCGAACTCCCAACGCTAAACAGCACCCGAGTATCCTTGTCAAAAACAAATGCAAAGTGGTCGCGGGGCGCCCGCGCATGCTTCAACTTTGAAGGCAAGGTGTGCTTTGCATTCGAATGTGACAAGGGCTGTTGGCTTGCGCGCAGCAAGCAGTAGAAGGGCAGCCCCGCCGTCCGTGCCATAAAGAAATGCAAACTGGTCACAGGGCGCCCGCGCAGGTTCAAGATTCGGAGGCAGGGATGGTTCGCTTGCGCGCGGCCAGCGATTTTGAGGGCACCACCACCGTCGTGTTTTCTTTTTTACAAAGAAACTATGCGAAGTGGTCGCGGGGCGCCGGCGCAGGCTCAAGATTCGGAGGCAAAGTGAAGGTGTATTGCTCTTCCCAACCTTCCTGTGGTGTTGGATCCTCGTTCTGAAGACACAGCGTACCGCGTCTCCTCCCTCCCGCTGCCCTGTCCTCCGCCTCCTCCTCCTCCTCCTCCTCCTCCTCCTCTTCCTCCTCCTCCTCCTTCTACATCTCCCCCTCCTCCCCATCATCATCAGCATCATCACCATCATCAGCAGCATCATCAGCATCAGTATCACCACCACCACCACCACCACCATCATCATCATCATCATCATCATCAGCATCAGCATCATCATCATCATCATCATCATCATCATCATCAGCAGCATCATCCTCACGATCATCATCATCATCATCATCATCATCATCATCATCATCATCATCATCATCATCATAATCATCATCAGCTGCATCGGATCAGCATCAGCAGCATCATCATAATCAGCATCATCAGCATCATCAGCATCATCAGCATCATCATCAGCAGCATCAGCATCGCCACCATCATCATCAACAACAGCATCATCACCATCAGCATCGTCAGCATCAGCATCGTCGTCACCATCATCGTCATCATCATCATCATCGTCATCGCCATCGTCATTGTCATCGTCATCGTCGTCATCATCGTCATTATCGTCATCATCGTCATGATCGTCACCAGCATCGATGTCATCATCACCATGATCGCCATCAGCTCTGGCACACCCTTGACACGTCTCTTTGTCCCATGAGGAGCTCCAATGGAACAATCCGCATTGCGTACCCGCACCTGATTCGGCACACTCCTCACGCGTTCCTTGGCCCCATATGGAGCTCCATCGGGGGCCCCAGCGGCACAGTCCGCATGGCGTACCCGCACCCGGCTCGGCACACCCCTCACCCGTTTCGTGGCCCCATAGGGAGCTCCGCCGAAGGAACCAGCGGCACAGTCCGCATGGAGTACCCGCACACGACTTGGCACACCCCTCCCACGCGTCGTGGCCCCATAGGTGGCTCCACCGAAAGCCCCAGCGGCACAGTCCTCATGGCGTACCGCACCCGATTCGGCACACCCCTCACAGGCGTCGTAGCCCCATGGGAAGCTCCACCGAAGGAACCAGCGGCACAGCCCGCATGGCGTACCCACACCAGATTCAAATTCGGTACACCCCATACACGCTTCGTCGCTCCATAGGGAGCTCGATCGAATGCCCCAACGGCACAGTTCCGCATGGAGTACCCGCACCCGAGCAAAACCCTCACACGTTTCGTGGTTCTGTAGGAAGCTCCGACGCAGGCCCTAATGTCAGTCCGCATGGCCTACCCGCACCCGACGCGGCACACCCCTCACACGTTTCGTGGGCCATCGAGAACTCCGCCGAAGACCCCAGCGGCACAGCCCGCATGGCGCACCCGCATCCGATTCGGTACACCCCTCAAATGTTTTGCGGCCCCATAGGGGCTCCACAAAAGGCCCCAGTGGCCGCAACTGGCTCGGCACGTCCCGTACACTTTTCGTGGCCCCATTGGGAGCTCCACCGAAGGAACCAGCGGCACAGTCCGCATGGAGTACCCGCACCCCGGTCGGCACACCCCTCACACTTTCGTGGCCCCATAGGGGGCTCCACCGAAAGCCCCAGCGGCATTCCACATGGCGTACCCGCACCCGATCTGGCACACCCCTCACACGTTTCGTGGCTCAAAAGGGGGCTCTGGTGCAGGCCCAAGTGGCAGCGCCCGCATGGCGTACCCGCACCCGGTTTGGCACACCCCTCACACGTTTCGTGTCCCTATGCGGGGATCCACCGAAGGCGTTATCCCCAACGACGGCATTCACAGCTGCATAGGGTTGGGTCCCCCGCCAGGATTATGTGACAGGGATGGTTTGCGTGCGCGCAGCCAGCAAGACAAGGGCACCCCAGCCTTCCGCTTCAAAAACCCATGCGAAGTGATCGCGGTGCGCCCGCACGTGCTCCAGGCTCTCCAGACCTGGAGGCAAAGTGAATGTACAATTGTTTTGACAGGAGCGGTGGGAGGGCTGTTGGCACGGGTCTGGGTTGGCTGCGGGTCGGGTGGGTAAGGGGGGGGCTACTACGAGGGATCAGTGGTACAGAACCAAAACTACCAGTAGTGCAAACACCAAACCGAAGCGAAACGCACATATTACAATACTGCGGCAAGCGAGGCGAGGCCCTGCCTTTACCCCGACAGGGGAGTAGAGCCAGGCAAGTGGCAGAT